TAATCAAAATACAAATAATTTACCAACCAATTAATTAATATAATCATATTTTATAAATTAATTAAATAATATAATAATAACTAATCAACCAATTAAGCAATTTACTTATCATTTACTAATTAAATAATCAAAATACAAATAATTTACCAACCAATTAAACAATATAATCCTAATTTATTAATTAATCAATATAATTATAATTTACCAATGCATATTAACATTATTTTTTTTCATTAATTAAATTTCAAAATAAAAGTTTAACAAAAGATTAGAACATACTTATAAAAATAAATACTTCAAATACAAGGAAATCAAAGTGAAATTTGAACCATGCTCTTGATTGCCGGCCTAAAAAATTAAAAAAGCAAAAAAGATTAATAAGTTGAAAAAAAATAAAAAACATAGAAATCTAAATATTTCAGCTAATTTAAGAAAAGTATAATAATATAACAAATTGAGGCACAAGAATGATGGACAAAAGTGGTGGTAAAAATGCAAAATAACTAAAAGTCATTTACTTGAAAAATGAAAAAAATAATGAGCAAATGAAAAATAAAAAAGGGGGAAATACGGGATCTTACAAATGCAGAAATATAATGAGTAAAAGAAAAAAAAAAGGACAATATTGTCATAACTCAAATTTTTATCCAAAAAAAATAAAAAAAATAAAAAATATAAAAATATGAAATTTTCCCATTTTATTTAACTAAGCTATCTATATTTTTATTTTGTTTCAGGGATTACATGCAAAAAGGAAATTTTAGGAAGAAGATTGGAAAAGAAGAAGAAAGAAAAGACTCAATTGAAGAAATCAAAAGTTGGGGGACGAAATATTTTAAGCTAAATCTAGCCCATCAAAACCAAACTCAAAAACCCAACCAAAACCCACTAAATTATCCAAACCCAAACCCAAACCCGTTTAACCTAAACAAAAAAAAGTGAAATAAAAGATGGATCTGGAACCTTCTTCCCCACGCACCCGGCCTTCTACCTGCTGCTGCACCGAACCCACCCCTGCTCCTGCACCAGATCCCCTCACCCTGCACTGAGCCCCGCGCCCTAGCACCCTAAGCCCGCGCCCCAGGCCCTGCTTGCTGCGCCTCATGCTCCCTGCTCTGCGCCTCACGCCCTGCGCCCTGCGCGCCGCGCCTCGAACCCAGGTCCCCTGCACGCCCGAGCCTCGCCTCTGCACCAGCCTGCGCCCGACGTGCCTCCTGCGCCCAGATCCCGCGCAATCATCACTCCTGCACCTGCTGCTGCGCTGAGCTCAGATCCTCTGCCATGCACGCTGCATCACACCCTGCACGCCCGTGCCTTGCACTCTGCTACACCTGCACTTGATCCTGCACTCCTGCTTCTGCCAAAAAGCTGGATCCTTTGCCTTCTGCGGCCCCCTGCATGTTGCTGCCAATCCTGCGCGCCTACATGCCTAGATTTGCACTCATCACCCCTCCTCTGCCAGAGCCGATCCTGCACTCATTACTCGCCTGCGCCCCTGTTGCAGCCTGATCCTCTGTACCGCTGCAACCCAATCTTGCAACCCGATCTTGTACCTACTCTGATCGTCTGTTCTCCTTGTCTCATTTTTCTGCAAGTGTGGGTATAAATAGAGGGTGTCCTTGGTTGACAGGGGGAGTCGGTAATTGTGGAGTTTTGGAGTTTGCTTTGGTTGGAGTTTGGAGTTTGATTGGGGGTTGGTTTTGGGTTGAATTTGGGTCTGTTTGCTGGGTAGTCTCGTCTGAGTTTTTGAGAGCAGAAGAAGGAAATTCTGAGGAGAAGAGGGGGGTCTTTTGCTGGTTGATCTTCGAGTTTAGTTTGAAAAGAAGATCGATTCTGCTCGCTGGAGGTGGGAAAACAAAAGGGTATTCTTGCTTTAGGTAATCTCCTGAACAGAGGGATTTCTGGGAAGGATAGTGAAGGAGACGAACGGAACCTGGTCCCGTGGGTGGGATCCCTCCCTTCCGATCTGGATCTACCTCCTAAAAATTCCGCCATGGGTGTTTTTGTTATTTTCTGTTGATTTTGTTTAGATCTGTGTTTAAGTTTGTATGTGTTTCGTTGGAAAATGAATGAAAAATAAAAAAAAAATAAAAATTGTTCAGTTCATTTTGTCTGATGAGTGTGCCTTTTTTTTTCTTGTGTTGGTGAATAAGAATTTTCTGTTATGATGAATGTGTTCTTCCTTTAAACTGATGAACCCTAATTGCAAGTTTTATTTTTGTGGGTTTGATCTGTTTTTCTTTATTTTAAATAGCGAGTTGTGTTTCTGGATCGGTCAACCTAATCTAAAGAAAAAAAAAAAAAAACTAAAAAGGGTTAAAAAGTAAAAAAAAATTTAATTTGTGAATAATAAAATTAATTAACTTTAATTAAAATAAATTAATCATGTTTATTGATTTTGATTTGAGATTATTAGGT